TTAGGTTGTAATTAAAAAAAATAAAAAAAAAAAAAAAAATTCTTTTTAACTATATACCTATGATATTAATGAAGAACAAATGAATTTTTTTTACTAATAGCTATTACTTTTATCAATCTACGATAAATCGTCGTACAATATATACATATCATAGTGTCAATTGAATTCAGGTAAATCTGACGAGCAAGAAGACGAGACATTTAAATGTATCGATTGCTTATCTGGAGTAGCACCTGCCTGTTTTCTATGCAATGAGAGAGAAGGTGATAGGATACGATGTATTGTTCCGGCTTGTGGGAAACATTATCATTCCGACTGTTTGTTATCATGGCCTCAGGTAAAACTGCATTACCTGTATTAGTTTAAAATATATTTTAAATATTACTTCTTTGATAAACAATGATAAATAATATCTTTTTTCGCAGTCGCATTGGCAAGGTGGACGATTGATCTGTCCATACCATGTATGTCACACGTGTAGCTCGGATAATCCACAAGATAATCGTTCGCGCGCCCCGAACGAGAGACTGGCCAGATGCGTCCGTTGTCCTTCAGCTTATCACGCATCAACATTATGTTTACCTGCTGGCTCGTTAATTCTGACAGCTAGCCAAATTGTATGTCCAAAACATTACAAAGCGCCGCATCCACCATTGAATGCAGCATGGTGTTTCCTATGTACACGTGGCGGAAGTCTCATTTGTTGCGACACATGTCCGACTTCTTTTCATTTAGAGTGTTTGGGTAACCTAATTAAAGTATTATGATTAACAAAGTACAATATCGGCAAATTATTCTTATATATATTCATAATTTAGGTATAAATGCACCTGACGGTGGATTTATATGTGAGGATTGTGAAACGGGAAGATTACCTTTGTATGGAGAGGTTGTATGGGTGAAACTTGGCCATTATCGATGGTGGCCATCGCGTATATGTTATCCACAGGAAATTCCAGAAAATGTAGACTCTAAGCCTCATGAGCCCGGTAAATTTTGCATAATGTTTCTGGGATCTAATGATTATTATTGGGTGCATAGGTAAATAGAAATATCTTTCTTCCTTACAAATTATCTTGATTAATAGATATTTGTCTTTTTCTAATTTGATAATTTCTACAGAGGTCGGGCTTTTTTGTATCAAGACGGTGACGCAAATATAAAAGTACCTATGGGTAAAAAGAGTTTAATGGACGATACATATCGAATAGCTCTTGAAGAAGCCAATAAAATACATCAACAATTAAAAGCAACACGATCCAAGACTAAAGAACCAAAAGGATTGAAACCACCATCATATGTAAAATTAAAAGTACGGTTTATACTACGGTTTATATTAGAAAGGATGAATAAGCGTAATAAGAGCGCATTCTTTTTAACCGCTCATCAATGAATCAAGCAAGCGAACGCAAAACAAACATGAATGAATAACAATAATGTTTTTGCATTTATTGAAATAAATTCGATGTTTGTTCGCTTACTTTTGGTCTGGATTCCGTTTTAATTAATGTTCATCGTTTGTACTCATCGCGTATCGTTTATTCTAATTCGATTAAGCTCGCTTGTAGATATTTGTTCGTACTTATTCACTCTTGCTTATTTGATCTAAATTTACTTTCTAGCTTTTTTATATAGTAATTTATCATGTCTTTAAATCAACATTGCTGTTTTATTGTTGCAATTTTATTGAAGATTTTGAAAGTATTTGAAGTATGAAAAATATTATATATGATAGTATTTGAAGTATGGAAAATATTATATATGATTTATCCGAATAAAAAAAAAAAAAAAAATGACAATAGGAAGAAAACGTAAC